CTTTGGTAATATGCGAGTTAAGTGTGAAAATCACCATCATAGCATTTGGGCACAAACAGTGAAACGATCAATTAATATCTAAGAAACGAAAATAATGATAGAAAATTACATTATACAAACCAAACGCTATTTGCAATGGTTTCGTGATATGCTTTTACACACCTGAACTGTTACGTTTACTCTAAAGGGAATTTGCTATGTTCCTTGCAATCACTTCTGTTGTAGGTGGATGCTTCAGAATTTTCAGTGGGAAAATATGTTTTCATAAGAGAATGCATAAAATCACTGAAATTATTAGATTAATAATTAAGCATTGTTATCCCAGTATTTTTTGCATCATTATTTTTTCTATTTTTATTACTGGAGTTATTATCATCATTATGATAGCTATTTTCATATATTATTATAATTTTATTATTACCATTATATTATCATCAATATTAAATATTATCACAAACTATATTATAATGACACAATGTTAAAATCAGTCATACGACACTTAGTAAAAGATTATTGAAACGATGCTGAAACACACCAAAGAATCTCAGGAAATTTTCGTTTATACACATTCAGAACATATTCATATCTACAGAGACTACCTAAATCACTTGGTGTATTTGTAAGCAGTCACTACTGACTCAGCGAGGCCCAATGCCCAAGTACCCCATAGACTAGGAGCGCCGCCATGACCAGGACGGCTTCGCCAGTGACTCCGCCTGCCCCGTTGGCTCGCCCTCGGCTGCCAAAGGTCAAAGCTGCCATAGTGTCTGATGACTTGCCTCGAGAGTCTCGTAAACCGCCCACGCAGGGAGGGGCTTGGTCTTGCCACCAGCCACTCATAGCCCTGGCTGCGGTCCTGCGTCATCAGCTCTCCCCCAACCACGTCGCGGACCCGGGCGTGGTAGGCGTTCAGCCAGTGGCACTGCGGGGCGAGACGGCAACGGGCTTTAGAGTCTGCGACTGGGGCAGTGCGGGGCTCGTAGAAAGTAAAACAAAAAAGAAGAAAAAATGTGTTTCCGATTTGTAGTATAATAATGGCTGGCACTATTTTGAAATCAGAGCTGATAATGTAGTTAATATAAATACACACTGTGAGGCACGATTGATTAAGAGAGTATATGCTTGAACAATTTGTAGCATATATATATATATATGAGAGAGATATATAGAAGAGAGAGAGAGAGTATAAGAGTAAGAGTAAGATGAGATATGAGTATAGTAAAGTATATAAGATAGTATAAATTATAGTAGTAATGTAATGTATATATATGGAAGAGATAGTATAATAATGAATGATATAATATGATACAACACCAGCAAACACATACAGATGACACACAATAATATATGATTAAAGTAAAGTGTATAATATAGAGTAATTAAATATAGTAATAAGTATATAGTAAGAGAGTAAGTAAGATAGATAAGATATATATGTAGTGAGAATGTGTAGTAAAGTATAATAGATGGAGATATAATAGTAATGTTGTAAGTATAGTAGTATAGCATATATATATAAGTATAGTATATAGTATAGTATATATAAATATAGGTATATACATATATACTACATATTATATATAATTATGATAATGGGGCTGGTGCGTTTGCTAATAGAAGAACGCAATGAATAAATTGAGTATAAGGTGCTAGATAATTTGAAGACAGACGACTAATTCTGATGAACTGACGAACAGGGACCAGACGAGCAGACGCACCTGGCGTCGCTGAGAGCGATAATGCAAGGATTTAATGCAGATGTTGGGCTATATCAAAAGGCACTGAGAAAGTGAGCAGGCGTCGAAAATGCAGAGACTGCTGCAAAAGTGATAACTGATACAGAGACAAAGGAAAAAAGAAACGTATTACCATTAAAGAAGAGATGAGCAGAAACAGTAAAATCGGCAAATAGACAAGAGATATATATAGAGGAAGACGAGAGAAAGGTATAGCATGAGAGCAGTGAGTACGCGCAACCTCCGCGGAGCATAGACGGTGCAGTATGATGCAATAACAAATCGAACCGACGTTAAAAGAGTAGAAGAAACGCATTGTACTTCTCAGGAGTAGACAGGCAAGGCGATAGGAGTGCATGAATCGATTAATATTAAAAAATCTTGGATGGAATGACACGAGAGAGATAGATGAGGAAGACGATAGCTGAGATGAAGGGACTGAGAAGAAGAACAGACCGTCTATGGGTAGAAGAATCATGTATCTAACTTTTTATTAAAATAGTAGAACTGATAACGCAACCCACACGAAAAACGACAAAAAAAAGATGAAAAGCAACGCACACTAACTAATATGCGAACCAGTTCAGCGGAGGTAAGAATGGAAGTATTTCCTTAAGAGTACAAGAGTATACAGAGGCGAGTAAAAAGATAAAAAAATAACTATATATCACGAATCCGCCGCGCACACTCTGCTGCGGCACTTAAATAAAAGAGAACAAAAGAGAGAGAGAGAGAGAGAAGGAGAGAGAGAGAGAGAGAGAGGAGGAGAAGAGAGAGAGAGAGAAGAGAGAGAGAGAGAGAGACGAGAGAGAGAAGAGAGAGGAGGACACAGAGAAATTGCTACTCGAATCGGCAGCATGAAATAAACCACACTCCGTAACGGGCATTTGCAGAAATCAAAAGGTCTGTGCCTTCGTACCTGGGTCTCCTTGGGCAACGAACGCGGCATTAGGTTTCCAGTCTGGAAATGCCGAAACTCGTGTCTTGGTAGTAGAGGTAGAGAGAGAGAGAGAGTAGAGAGAAAGAAACCGAGGGTACTGGTGGGAAAGGGAAGGAGCGTCTGAGAGTTCTGCTATCGTATGAGACGCAAGCGGAATGGATGGCAGAGGATGCGTAAACGCGAGACATACGCGCGCATCAGCACAGTAGGGCTTAGACACGCTCCGAAGCAATAACGACATACATACGAGACACGACGCGCATAGCAATTAGAACAGCGAAGCCACACAAAGGCTGAAACATACAGCGCACAGACACGAGCATAGAAAGAACACGGAGAACGCAAGACTAAAGAGCAATACATGCGAGACAAGATTATTATAAACATGACACAGCACAACACTAACACGTAACCGAACCAAGGCATTAAGCACTAGAGCAACGACGACTAAAACAATTACATACACACACTAACACGCTTAAGCAATACAACGCACCACAACTAACACATTATACGGAACAGACTACGCACTACACGAAAGCAGTCAAAGCACGAACACATAAAAAAGAGAAAGAGAAAAAAAAGACAGAAGGCCAGAATGAGAAAGAAACCAAGACAGAAAGAAAAGAAAAGCGAGAAGGAGCCGAACACAGACAACTAACAAGCGTAGCAGATTCGGCTATAAATGACAAATCCACAAACGACTCACCGCACTTACGCCATACTCCTCACATACATCTCGCGTAAATGCTACGACACATCACTTGACACGCGATCACTAATCACAGTAGCACTCACGTCACTCAGGTGTCACTCCAGATTCCCGCATGTTACATTCTTGCACATGATCACACAACGAAATCGCACTAGCACGAGTAACTTATTTCTAGCGCCAGATAGTATATTGCATTAGACATCCGTCTTAGTCACATACAAAACAGTACCACGAGCCCAGCTTCTAAGCATACGCACGAGCAGAGTAGCAGAACGAATACACTATGCTGTGTTGAAGCGTGTCGCAGCTAGTGTTAAGGGATTGATTGGCTTAACGTCATCTACTATAGCAGCATCTATTTAGACGTCACATGCTATGCACATGGCTCAGAACTACCTCACAGATGAGATCACATTTCTGTGCAGTGGAGTGATACACCAGAGAGGTCACTGCCGTGAGCTTAGGTATCAGCACAACACATAACATATATTCGCGAGCGACTTTTATAGAACATTATCACACTGCAGCACAACTAACATCAAAATATATCTAAACTGTGCACTCCATATTAACTATCTTAGAATAATCATTCGGACTTATTAGAGCTAGTCTATATATAGTAGTTATTTTTGGGAGGAGGAGAGCCTATTGAGATGTATTAATGTATGTCTTTTCAGGATTTCTCCTGTCCGTCTGAATTATAGAGGTATGCTAGTGCAGATTTATTATCATCACTCACACCCCACACGAGATAGGGCAGTGAATGAATAGGATGAAGGCAAAGCGATGAGGGATTGATAAAGGAAAATGAAAAAAGTATAAAAGAGTATGAAAATATACCCTCACACATACCTATATACGAGTCTATGTAACGGTACCTAATATGTATGAGATGATATATGTATCTATTTACCTATCTATCTATCTAATCGTGTCTACCTATCTATCCATTAATTAATCACTAATTGATTCACATTCATCCCCATCCCATCCGTTTTGTGTGCATGTGTGTGTGTATGTGCGTGTGTGTGTGCGTGTGTGTGTGCTGTGGTGTGTGTGTGGTGTGTGTGTGTGTGTGTGTGTGTGTGTGTGTGTGTGTGTGTTGTGTGTGTGTGTGTGTGTGTGTGTGGTGTGTGTGTGTGTGCGTGTGCGTGTGCGTGTGCGTGTGCGTGTGCGTGTGTGTGTGTGTGTGGTGTGTGTGTGTGTGTGTGTGTGTGTGGTGTGTGTGTGTGTGTGTGTGTGTGTGTGTGTGTGTGCGTGCGTTGCGTGTGTGTGCGTGCACGAGGGTGTGTGCGTGCACGAGGGTAGGTGTGTGTGTGCGTGCAACGAGAGGGTGTGTGCGTGCCGAGGGTGCGAGGGTGTGTGCGTGCACGAGGTGTGTGCACAAGAGGGTGTGTGCGTGCACGAGGGTGTGTGCGTGCACGAGGGTGTGTGCGTGCACGAGGGTATGTGCGTGCACGAGGGTGTGTGCCGGAGATTAAAGAAACAATTACTAGAGAAGAATGTTAATTTGCAGAGTATTATACGATTATTCGGTTACTAACATATTAATGAATATATGTGTTCCTATTCTCATTACGGATAAAAGATAAGCATACCATTTTTGCAA